TATAAAAACGCTACTGTTTTTTGAGTGTTCACCAAGCCTGCAGTTTTTCGAATCGGTTTATTTAGGCTGTTTCTCTAATACAGAAATTTCTTTAAATGTAGAATTTGTCGATCTTAGTTTTTGAATGCTGGGTTTTGTGTCACACTCAGAATGATCTTGCTTCCCCATTTCCAAAACTGGTGAAAAAAGGGTCCCGTCCTTGCTTCCATTTTACATCCTTGAGCCATACGTATTTCATTTTGAGGCTATGCAGGGAGACTTTAAGAACCAAACCAATGTTTCCCAGCTGGCTATTGGATCAGCATAGTTTGGGTTGCAGAAAACACAGTGGCTAAAAGCAGTTTAAATAACTCGGGTTTGTTGTCTCACATAATTAAGCTTGGGCGCGATTGATTCCATCTCTGATTTCTGGTGGCGGTGACGATAGGATGACTGCTGAGGGCGTGGTTTCCTTGTGCAGCCTGCAGAGCCAGAAGCTGGGGCAGAGGTCTTGTGTTCTCTAGGCTTAAGCTCCATCGCCTGGAAGCTGCTCGTTAGTGTAGTGCCGGATGGACTGGGGTGGTGTAGATGAATTGGGGTTCACCCGCTGCCCTGTGTCATACTGTGCCCGGGTCCTGAGCACAGTTTGGGATTCATTGCCTAGAAGGAGGTTGGAGGAAGGCAGGCAGGCAGCTGGGAGGATCTGACGTTCTCTGAAATGCCCCGTCCTCCACCCACTGGCAATTATACTTCTGTCATTGATTCAGGTTTTCTGTGATTTATTTTTAAATCTGAATTTTGGATTTATTTCTCAATCTAAATTTTAGGTTTTACCTTCTAGTGATGTTTACTCATGGACTAACAGTGCATTTTTAAATGACACTAGCTTTTAAATATATCTTAGTAGCCTGTATGGCTTGGGTGTGCTTACATTACTTCTGAGTTTTCTTGACTATTTTTGTTTGTTTTTCAAAATAAACTTCAGAATTTGAGGCCAGGTCTGAAAATGTAATCCTGTGGCTTCTTTCTTTTTTTAAAAAAACTGGGGGTTTGTTATATTTATGGGTGAACTTAGGGAGGACAAGGTTATCCACATTTTCCTGCATAAAGTGGTATGTGCCTGAAATACATTTTGGAATACCCAGGTCTTCTATTATGCCTATTACGTATCTTGTAAGTGATGATAACAAGCATACTTTAGACTAAATATGTGATTTTTTTTTTTCCCCTGGTACCGGGGATCAAACTCAGGACCTTGTGCTTGCTAGGCAGGTGCGGTGCCACTGAGCTAAATCCCTGGCCCTAAATGTATGAATTATTTATCTGCTGCTTAGCTACTTTCTATTAGATTGAAAGAACTAAATCCTTCTTTCATTACTAGCTGAGGTTCCAGCTACTTGAAGTTCGGCAAACTGAGTCAGGGGGATGAGGTGACATTTGCCTTGCCCTGGTAGTAGCCTTAGGGTAGATATCGTTCTTTATAAGTGCTCAGACAAGTATTAAATTGTATATAATCGATGCTACCAAACCTTAATTCCTTCATGCTATCAATGTGAATTTTCTTTTTAATACTTGAGATTTTAAATCAGATGCATCTGTTAAAATTCAGTTTGTCAAATTTTAGGAATTTACATTTACTAAACACACCCTGTGATCTTAGGTTTGGTTTGGAACCATTTTATCCTGTACCATATTAATGATTTCATGCTTTATTTTATAATCTTCATATTGAGGATAACAGTATCTTAATCAGTTAGTCACTTTAATTAGAAAACTCCTGGTTTTACTAATCGCTAATGATTTTTTAATGCTTTTTTTCTCGTTGTTGTCATGTTGTATTTTGTTTGTTGTTTGTTTATTCTTTTAACATCTTCTTAAGTCTTCATGCTTAAGTTACCTTATTGTAATTTTGGATGCCATTAGATTTTGTTTCTCTAAAATTTTCAATCCACAAATAGTATGTTGTGTTTTCTCTGATTTCTTCTTCTTTTGTTCATCTTTCTTTAGTTTGCCTGTGTGTTTCTTTTGCTTTGAATGTGCCGAGTTAATCTCCTTTTGGTTCCATGATTTATGTTCCCATCCATTTGAAACAGGCCACGGTGGAGTCTATCATGAGGGATAAGATGCCTAAGAAGGGAGGAAGATGGTGGTTTTCGTGGCGGGGAAGAAACACCACGATCAAAGAGGTAACCATGGAAAACAGAGCAGTGTTTGTATCTAGCAGAGCTTGGCTTGGTGTTGTGAAGAAATAAGCACCAGCCGAGCTGTAGCCGGACTGTGGGAGCCGCCCAGGAGGTAGGTGATGCATAGGTTGGAGGAGCAGAGGCGGCTTCTCCCCCAGCCCTGTTCCCAGTTCCTGTGGGCCTGGGGTCCAGCCACGCCTTCCTGTAAAATTTCTTCATCTGTAGAAGGAAAAGGTTTCAACAGGATCATTTAATATATTTTTTTTAAATAGATACCTTCCTGGTGCCTGTGAAGACCGCGCCACAGGCCTTCACAGTTAGTGTGTGGAGTAATTCTCACCCGTCTTCTCCTAGGAAGCCCCGTCTGCACAGCCCTGGCAGGTCCTTGGCTGTCTCGGCCTCCACCCTGTCTGCTTTCCTCTTGCCTTCCAGGCCATGGTAGCTTGACCCTCCTCCCCTAGCTGTGGCGGCTCCTCCCCTTGGGACCTTTGATTCTGCCTTGAGCCTTGCTGTTGCCTGGCAACCCACTCATGTCCACACGATGGCTCCGCTTTTATACCCAAACCAGACAACCTGCTGTCCATTTACCAAACAGCCGACTAAAGAGACATCTCACCTGGGAGCTTTGAGCATATCAGACTCTTTCTTTTTTTTGTACTGCTGGGACTGAGCCTCGGACTTTGCACTGAGCTGCATCCCCAGCCCAATATTTTGTATTTTGCGTTTTTAATTTTGAGACAAGTTCTTGCTAAGTTGCCCAAGCTGGGCTCCAACTTGTGTCCTTGCTGCCTGAGCCTCCCGGAAAGCTGAGATGCCAGGTGCGCACCACCTGGGCTGGTTGGTTTGTTTAACTATTGGTACATTTTCGGTATACATAACGGTCACATTCATCATAAGGAACTTGGACCTGTACCTAATGCATCTTTATTCTTTTTTCCCCCAATCCCCTCGCCTCCCTCAGACCCTCTTCCCCTCCTTATTCACAAAAGCTTTTTCCATTTTTCCCTTCTAGTCTCTCTTTGCCTCCTTCCTTTCCTCCTTCCCCCTCCCCTGTTCCCTTCCTGTCTGAACATTTTCTTACTGTTTCCCAATCTCTATTATATACTTTGGTCCTTATTTACCCTTCCGGTTTCTCACATCAGAGAAACAATGTGGTATTTAAACATGTGTGTCTGATTTATCGTTTTCTTTTTTGTTTGTTTGTTTTGCTTTTTGTTATTTTCGGTTTTTTTGGTACCAGGGATTGGACTCAGAACGTTGTGCTTGTGAGGCAGGCAGCAGAACCACTGAGCTAAATCCCTGGCTATCGTTTTCTTTATTAAAGTGCTACAGTGGAAGTCATTAGATCCTGACTCAAAAATCCAAAACCCGGGGCCCTCTGGGGTACATCCAAAAGAGCATTTCCTATTAAAATAAGTAGCATTGCAAAAGAGAAAAATGCCTCCCTGCATTCCCCAGCAAAGCCTGGCATGATAATGTCTTCAAGCATTTCTATCCGCAATCACGAGAAAGCAGCCCTTCTCATGCACTTGCTGCTGTGTCACGGAGATGATGGAGTTTGGTGTGGTGTCACGAATGCACATGGAAACAATCGCATTTCTGTCAAAAACATTTCCCAGGGTGATCATGTGGTGAGCACATGCCCAGATAAATGGACCCAGAACCTCCTGAGCCAGCCCTGGGGTGTGTGCTGTGGGGTAAGGGTCCCCCATGAGGGTCCTGCCCTGGGAACTAGGGATTTTTTGAGACAGGGTCTCACTGTGCCTTTCAGGCTGGCCTCAAACTCACCACCACCCTCCTGCCTCGGCCTACCAAGTGCTGGGATTATAGGGGTATGCCACCACTCCCAGCCTAGGCAGGAGCCTTTGTGCAATCTTGCCTCCTTATACTTCCCTCTCTTTCTTTTCCCCTTCTGCAGGAGAGTAAGCCGGAGCAGTGCCTGGCCGGAAAAGGTCACAGTACCGGGGAACAGCCGCCTCAGCTCGGCATGGCCACCAGGTACAGGAGGGGGATCCTCTCGGGGTGTTTCTGCCCCTTCCCACCTCCAGGTCTCATCCAGCTCAGCCTGATGCTGACAGCCTTCACTAGACGGCCCTGGGGTCTGTGATTCGCTTAGTGACCTGGCACGATTTGTTTAGATTGCTTTTCCCATCCATCCCACCTGCTGGGGAAATGGGAGTGAAATGAGGTGCTGTAATGTCTTAGTCACTTTTCTTATTGCTGGGACAAAATGCACAACACCTGGAGATTAGAAGAGGAAGTGTTCATTGTGGCCCACAGTTTGCAGAGGTTCAGTCCCTGGTCAGCTGGTGCCAGGGCAGGGTGGTATGGCAGAGGGGCCTGGAGGAGGAGAGCTGCTTACAGCACGGGGGACAGGAAGCAGCGAGGGAAGGGAGGCGCTGGGAAGGGAGAGAAACCCTTCCAGGCCACGCCCCCGGGACCGCCCTTCCGCCAGACCCCGCCTCCTAAAAGCCAGTCAGCTTTAAGCCCCCATGGTCCAATCAGCTTCCAGAAGCCTCGCCCATGAGTGTATGCAGCTTTGGGGGCGTCTGGATATGAACCATGGCAGATAACTAGAGCCTTTCATGTGGTACTGGCCTGTGAGGCCCCGTTGGCAGACGCCGGTGCGGGAGTGGATGTGATGACGATGATGATCATGACGATGATGACGACGACGATGACGACGACGCTGATGCGGACGCGGACGCGGACAGATCCCTCCTGGAGGAGCTCACCTTTCTGTGCAGTTTCAGCACTAACCGGGGCTTGTCTGAGTATCGATACAGACGTTAACCTGGCACAGCAGACAGTTTGTGATGCTAGCGATCGAGACCGATGATTTGGGTTTTGGGGTGACTCGGCTCCGCAGGAAGAGACTCCCCAGAGGTGGACTGTGACATTGGGTGAGCTGCTCAGAATGTTTTGTGGGTATTCCCTCAATTTACAGCACCCCTCGCCTACAGAAACCCAGGATTGCACCGGGCAAGCCCGTCATTTCAGCTCCCTGGGAGGCTGAGGCGAGAGGATCCCAAGCTTGCGCCCAGCCTGGGCTTCTTAGTGCCTTAGCGAGACGCTATCTCAAAATAAGAGATAAAAGGGCTGGGGGTGGAGCTCCGTGCAGAGGCCCTGGGTTCCGTCCCCACTGCTGCAAAACATTAAAAAAAGAGGAAAAATACTAACAGATGACTTGAGGGCATGACCTGTATTGTGATCAGTTCCGCCGTGGAGTAGAGGTGACCTCAGTGTGGTGAGCTCTCTCTGGACCCGTGAGGCTTTGCCGTCTTGGTCAGATTACAGGGTACACCGGCCGGATGTCTGGGGGCTGTGACCGTGGCCGTTGCTCTCTTTTTTCTGGAATCCCCGGTGGGAAGTGGGGCCCCACGTCGGGGGTGGCAGGAGGCTTTCTTTAGGGTTCCCTGTGTGGAGGAGCAGCGTGCAGCCCGGGACCGCAGTTCTTGGTCTTTGAATGTGGCTTTCCTTGGAACGTTCTGGAAAGGAGCCTTCCGCTGGTGGGCGAGGCCGTGGCACTTCTCCCCGGCCCCTGCTGCTCTCGGTCCACTCCGACTGTGATGGAGTTTTCCTTCCGATCCAGTCGCAGTGGCTGTTGACAGTGCGACTTTTCCCGTCATCTAGAAATGGTGGAACCACTCATCCCTCCGCGTCAGTCACACTGCAGCTGTGACAAAGGCAGGATTGACACTGGTGCCGCGGAGCTGAGGTTTGAAAAGTGTTCATCAAAACTTCTCCCGAGAAATCAGAAATCCTTTCCTTTGCATCGGCACCGTCAGCTTTTAGTTTTCCTCATTAGCACCATGTAGGTGCTTTGAAAACAAAAGGCAAAAAGAGAGGGTGTCGGATGTTCTCCTAATGGCAGACGTGACTGACAGTGGCAGTGCCCGAGCCCCGTGATGGAGCCAGCAGCTCAGCACCAGGAGAATAATTAGAGCACCATTGGAAAAGCATGCGTGTGACAGCGCTAAATTAGATGCTGTTCACAGCCACTCGTCAGAATGAAGATTTCCAAGTGATAGGAGCCCTTTGGTTTTTGTTTTGCTTTGGTTGTTTTTTTGTTTTGTTTTGTTTTGTTTTTTTTGGTACCGGGGATCAAACTCAGGTCCTTGCGCTTGCAAGGCAGGCGGCAGAACCACTGAGCTAAATCCCAGGCCCTAAGGTTTGGTTGTTTTGAGATGGGGTGGGAAGAGAACCTGGAGGTGATCCAATGCTTTTTTTTTTTTTGAGACTGGGCCTTGCTGTATAGTTCAGGCTGGCCTTGAACTCACTGTGCAGCCCAGGCAGGCCTCGAACTCTCAGCGATGGTCTTGCCTCAGCCTCCTGAGTGCTGGGATCACAAGGGAACCTTTTATTTTAGTTTGTTGCTGCTTGCAGAGGCTGGTAAGCAAAAGCCACATTCAGTGAGCTGCTGCCAGGGGACATTTTGAAAGTGCTACCAGCAGCTGTACATAGCTGCTTTAGTTTTTAAGTTTTGTGCCTGTGCTTTCTGTTTTTCTCAAATGAGGCATGCCGTGTGGACTCCGTGGGCTTTTTTCCAGTTGTTTACAGCAGCAGGTGGAAATCATGCGATTCTCTCCAGGAGAGAGGCGGGTTGGTCTGCTGTTACCCAGAGCCCTGGCTTGCACACAGGTCCCCTTCCACTCCGAACTGTCCGCCGGGGACAGAAACATTTTCTGGGTCCGTGAGGAGCCAGTAGCCTCCTCCTCCTGCTTGATGAGCAAATCTTTGCCCCAAGATCAAGCTGTCCCCATTGGAGACCTCTCTGCTGTTGGTTCCGAAGAGCCAGCATAGTGCGTAGGATCTGCAGGCTGGGAACCGAGGGGCCCTGGGTGAACTGTGTCATTTTCCCGAAGGGATTTGAGGCCCAGCCAGGGGCCCTCTGGTCAGGAGGCCTCTCCTGGACTCAGATATCCTGGTCCCCTTTCTTTCCGGGATGTCACCTGCCCGCAGATTGAAATTTTTGGTGGGCAGTGTGCAGTGTGTTCTCCTTTGTCTTAAGGAAAACAGGGTGGGTGTGGTGGTGCATGCCTGTCATCCCAGCACTCTGGGAGGCTGAGGAAGGAGGATCGCAAGTTCAGGCCCAGCCTGGGCAACTTACATTGTGAGACCCTGTCTCAAAATAAAAAAGGGCTGGGGATGCAGCTCAGTGTGAAGGCCCTGGGTTCAGTCTCCAGCACAGCAAAAAAAATTAAAAAGTAAAGAGAGCGATGACAGCTAGTGAGCAGCAGCGAGGAGAAGCGGCAGCTGCGCTTGGCTAACCGGGCGATGCATGAACCAGGGTGCCTGAGAGTTCCCGGATAAACTCGGTGCCCTGGCCGAGTTGTTGACACAGGGCAGGTGGCCCCACGCCTGTCCTCCCTGGCCACCTGGTGTCCTGTGTGTTCCAGAGTGAAGCACGAGTCGTCCTCCAGTGATGAGGAGCACGCAGCTGCCAAGCTGGCCCCTGCCAGCCACCTCCCTCTGCTGTCCAGCGTCAGCTACAAGAAGACCCTGCGGCTCACGTCGGAGCAGCTGGTGAGTCCCGAGCTTATTGTGCAGGTCCTGGGGGGCGTGGGGAGGCCGGTGGGGATCCCCTCACTCTCCAACCCACCTCTGCCGCCCAGCATAGCAGCTCGGGCCCCATAGCACCTGCGACCTCTGGCAGCTGCACACCCCTCTTTTTCTGTTTGGTTTTTAAGACAGGGTCTGGCTGTGTAGCTCAGGCTGGCCTTGAACTCACAGCGATCCTCCTGCCTCAGCCTCGTGAGTGCTTGGGCTGTAGGTGTGCAGCACCACAAGAGAGCAAAGGCGAGAGGGGAAATCTGTTAACTCACAGCTTTAAAATTCGTGTAAATTTAAACAGCTGTGAAGGCATTGAGGGAATCTCAGCCAGCAGGGGCTTTGTTGATTGTGGTGTTGCACATGCATGTGTGCGTGTGTGTGCGTGTGTGTGTGTGCGTGCGTGTGTGTGTGTGCGTGCGTGTGTTCGTGTGTCCCCACTTCTAATTAGCCCCTTCTCTCCCTGCATCGTATTTCACACCATGCCCAGTTGTGAGCAGATAGCGCCACCTTTTCCCAAAATCGTTGCCGTTTACCCCAAGAGTGAGTGGGGTGCAGGCTTAGTCTTCAAGGAGTTAATGTCAGGGGACAAACGGCCCCGACACCCACGCCAGCCCTGTGTGGGCCCTGCAGCCTCCAGTCCCTGTGACACAGCTCTGCCTGTGACCCTGGGGACCCCAGGCATCCCGGGGACCCTGGGGGTTGGAGCAGCTGGAGGTGCGCACCTGGGCTTCCCAGCAAAGAGATGGGGCTGCCCCGAGCTTGCCTGCACTCTGAACTCGTGTTCTTCCTCAGTCTAGACTGTGATCTTGTGGCTCTGAGGTGGTGGCGCATGCCTGCCGTCCCGGTACTCAGGAGGCTGAGGCAGGATTGTCACGAGTTCGAGGCCAGCCTGGGCTGCGTAGTGAGACTGTGACTCAAAAAACCCAGCCCAACCGAAGCATGGTTATTTAAGGAGATGTATTTTCACACTGGGCTTAAATCTGTGTCCCCATGTCAAGCCCCGTGTGCCGTGGAGTGTCATGTCCTATTCTCCATTTGTGATTTATTTTACTGGAACAAGAAATGGGAAACCGAGCGTCCTGGGGGAGGTTTTGTTTTACGGGGGACTGGATGTTGAACCCAGGCCATTGCACTGGCTACATCTGAAGCAGGGTCTCGCTAAGTTGCTAAGTTCCTCAGGCAGGACTTGAATTTGTGATCCTCCTGCCTCAGCCTCCCAGAGTGCTGGGATGACAGGCGTGCAGCACGGTACTGGCCTGAGCAGGGTGGTTTTTAAAGCTTAAATTTCTTCACGGCAGAGAAGCCAAGCCTCCCTGCCTCTGTGCCTTCCCCTCCAGCAGCCCTTGGTGTTTTTCAGAAAAGTTTAAAGTTGAAGAACGGCCCCAACGACGTGGTCTTTAGTGTGACCACGCAGTACCAGGGCACCTGCCGCTGTGAGGGCACCATCTACCTGTGGGACTGGGACGACAAGGTCATCATTTCCGACATCGATGGGACCATCACCAGGTAGACAGAGTCTTTGCTCAGTCACTGAGTTGCCCAGGCTGGGCTCAAACTTGGAGTTCTCCTGCCAGCCTCCCAGGGTACTGGGTGACAGGTGTGCATTGCCATTCCTGGCTCCTCTGTGTTTGTTATACGGCACGAATGGCGCTTGGACTCTGAATGGGCTTTGGTTTTGCGCCTCCCAGTGCCTCTGCAAGTTTTGTTTCCCATCTTCATTCAGATCAGACACCCTTGGCCACATTTTGCCCACACTCGGGAAGGACTGGACCCACCAGGGCATCGCCAAGCTCTACCACAAAGTGAGCCAGTGAGTACGGGGCTGGGCCAGACTTGTGCTCCAGGGTACCCTGCCTGCCACCCACACGGGGTGACGGCAGGGAGACCTCAAGGACTGGACAGACCCTGCTCCAAATAAATAAATAAATAAATAAATAAATAAATAAATAAAGGGCTGGGGTGGGGTCCGTGCCGGGGCTCTGGGTCCATCCCTGCCACCCCCCAGTCATCTTTGTGCTGGGCGTAGTGGCACACAACTGTCGGCTCAGCACTCGGGGGCCTGAGGCAGGAGAATTGCTGCAAGTTGGAGGCCAGCCTGGGCTCCATAGTGAGTTCAAGGGCAGCCTGGAGTACACAGCGAGACCCCATCTCAAAAAGAAAGGTACCAGAGTTCTGTGTCTGCTGCCGTTCACAGCGGGGTTTGTGTCTTCCAGGAACGGGTACAAGTTTCTCTACTGCTCCGCCCGTGCCATCGGCATGGCTGACATGACGCGCGGCTACCTGCATTGGGTGAACGAGCGAGGCACGGTGCTGCCCCAGGGCCCGCTGCTCCTCAGCCCCAGCAGTCTCTTCTCTGCGCTGCACAGGTGCCGTCCTCCGCCCGCCCTCTGCTCTCCTCTTCTCCCGGGAAGCTGCAGGGTGGCAGCCTGGAGGGGACTCTAGGGCCCTTGTACCAAGCTGCATCCCCTGCCTTCAGTTTTCATTCGGAGATAGTGTCTCAGGGGGTCGCTAGGTCACCCCGGCTGGGCAACTTGCCATTCTCCTGCCTCAGCCTCCAGAGTGCTGGGATGACTGCCTGCACTCCCCGCCCCGGGACTCTGTGTCCCTTGTGTGTGGAGTTCTGCATTTCCTTGTGAGGGCTCGGAAGTACAGATTGGCCCCCAAGGTCCCTGACCCTGGGGCAAGTCGACTGGTTCAATGTGGGTGAGGTTCTGGCCCTGATCTGTGATTTGTCTGTTGGTTTTAACAGAGAAGTGATTGAGAAGAAGCCGGAAAAGTTTAAAGTCCAGTGTTTGACCGACATCAAGAACCTGTTTTTCCCAAACACGGAACCCTTTTATGCTGCTTTTGGGAACCGCCCGGCTGTGAGTACTCGCCCGGAAGGGCTCAGGAAACCCCCTCTGACAGGCCAGCCTGCAGGCCTGGCCCAGCACTGCCGCCCCTGCCCTGTGAGGCCAGCCTGGCCAGAGGCCACATCAGCAGCTGGGCGCGGTGGCCCACCCCAGTCCTCCCCGCACTCTGGGGGCTGCAGCAGGAGGACGGCGAGCTCAAGCCCAGCCTGGGCCACTTGTGGGGCCTGGTCTTGCACTAAAAATAAAGGGCAAGGGATATAGCTCAGTGCAAAGGCCCTGAGTTCAACCCCTAGTACCGCAAAAGAAGAAGGCCACATTTAAAGCAAAGGGACTGAGCTGCCCTGTGCGCGGCCTTCGCAGAAGTGTGGCTGTAGGTCTGACCCAGAAGTGTGGGAGCAGCCTCGGGCCCCACTCTGCTGGCTGAATGAGTCAAGCTTGAGCCCTAAACTCACTAGGTCCGTCCCGCGGGGCGTGCCCTGGTGGGGTGGAGAGCCGCACGCCTCGTTTCTGCTTGGCCAGCGTGGACTCACGCGTGGACTCGGCACACGTGCTGGGTGTGGCCCAAGTGACCAGCAAGGCCATTATGCGGAGGGTGGGTCGGGCTGAACTCATTCTGCAGCGCTCCTGCCTTCAAAATCTGTGACTGAGGCAGGGATGTGGCTCAGTGGCACCGCGCCTGCCTGGCAAGCACAAGGTCCTGAGTTTGATCCCTGGTACTGGAAAAAAAAAGAATCTGTGATCGATGTCCCGGAAGTGGGAAATGGGTCGGAGAAGACTTCAGTGAGCGCTAGGGTGGCAGGGGCCGTGGCAGGAGCCTCCTTGACTTGGGTCCCCTGGAGGTGGGTGCCAGAGGGACTCAGGCTGGTGTGGAAGGTGGAGTCTGTGGCTGCCCTGCCCGGGGAGAACCCGATGTTCCCCCACCAAGCCACAGACAGCAGGCGTGCGTGGCCCACGAACTGGGCTTTCTCACTGTCGCTTCTGGGCTTTGCCACCCCCAGGACGTGTACTCCTACAAGCAAGTGGGGGTCTCTCTGAACAGGATCTTCACGGTCAACCCCAAGGGAGAGCTGGTGCAGGAGCACGCCAAGACCAACATCTCCTCGTGAGTGTCCCCAGGGCTTCCCAGTGGAGAGGACCCCGCTCAGCCATCGCTGCCTACGTTTCATATTTAATCCCTGTGAAAATACAAATTCTAGCCAGACAGTGGTGCACACCTGCAATCCCAGCTCTGGGAGGCTGAGGCAGGTGGAACCCTGTGAGTTTGAGGCCAACCTGGGCTACAGAGTGAGTTCATGGTCAGCCTGTACATAGTGAGACCTTGTCTGAAAAAGACAAACAAAACAAAAACCAAACAAACAAAACTTTAAACTAAATTCGACTTTGCAGTAGAAAGGAATTGAATAAATCTGAAGACTAGCAATTTAGGTTTGCTTTGCGAAGTTAGGCTTGGAGGCCTAGAATGTGAGTTAGAAATGTAGGCAGGTTGGAATATGAGGAGCTCTGTATTTCTTCACGTATTGAACACTTCTCCCTCCTGTGTGATTAGTAAGAATTCCTTGTGTATTTTTGGTCAGAGTTTGGTTTGTCCCAGTCAGTGGGCTAAACTGGATTTCTGAGTTTGGTTTGGTTTGGTTTTGCAGCCCTGGGGATTGAACCCAGGGGCTTCTCACTGAAGTACATCTCCTTGCATTCATTCCTTTATTGGTTTTTTATTTTGAGACAAGTTCTTGCTAAGTTGCCCAGGCTGGACTTGAACTTGGGATCCTCCTGCCTCAGCCTCCCCAGTGCTGGGATGACAGGCGTGCTCTGCAGGCTGCAGGGAGCCTGTGTGACCGCAGTTGCAGCCAAGTAGGGATCCGGGCCCCTCCCCGAGCCTTGAGCCTCAGGCCTCGGAGCCAGAGGGGCTGTAAGAGTGCGCAGTCTGCTTTCTTTCCGGCTCAGCTCCGCACTGCGAGGCTGTCCGGTCTTGTGCAAGGGCGCCGTTTCCCACGAGGACCTCTTATTTAATGAATGAATTTCTGCCCGATCAGCTAATTCCGAGCCCAGGTTTCAAAAGCCCTTTTGGATCTTCAGCGAGCCCAACCTGCAGCGGAGCCGGGGCTGGCGGGCGGGGCCGGGAGGGCTGGGGTGGAGCTGCAGTGCAGACCGCAGACACTCAGGCGAGATCTCCCCGGGGTCAGAGAAGATGGAGATGCCTGAGCTGGAGGTTTCTCGCCCCACGCGGTGACAGGGAGCCACCTGTGCCTTCCCTTGCAGGTACGGGCGGCTCTGCGAGGTGGTGGACCACGTCTTCCCGATGCTGAAGCGGAGCCACTCTTCCGACTTCCCGTGCTCGGACACGTTCAGCAACTTCACCTTCTGGAGGGAGCCGCCGCCCCCCTTTGAAAACCAGGGCGTCCATTCAGCCTCCTCGTGAAGGAATCGGGCGGCCTCCTGCGACAGTGCTGCAGGGAGCCGGGGTCCCATTGGCCGCCGGGAGCCCACTGTGCCTGCGGTGCCGCCCTGGCTTAGCGAGAAAGAACGGAGCCAGGCTTCCTGCGCTTCCCGCCCACGCTGCGTGGGCTGACAGCTTTAAATGCAGTGCCGGACCCTGCAGTGCATCCGCAGTCGGCCGTGCAGTGCTGTGCTTGGGTGTCACCGTGATCAGGCCGCACGCCAGCCTGCTCCAGCGACTGGCTCTAGATGTGCAGTAGGGGTCCCGGGGCCGTCCCTGGGGTGCCAGTGCCCCCCGAAGGGCCTGTAGGGCAGGGCAGCACGTTTCCCTGCTCGGCAGAGTCTCCTGTGGCCCTAGTGGGTGGGGGCCAAGGGCTCCATCCCTGCAGTCGCTTGCTAGCGCTTAGGTGTTGCAGCCTTTCCCTCCTGTGGTAAAGACGCTGTGCCCTCTCTGCAGCTCAGGGCTGGAGTCTTCTGCCTTAATTCACCCGGGGTGCGGCATCTCGTGTAGAGCTCACTCCCTCGCGCTCGCAGTAACTTTGCATCGCCTTAAACCAAAACTACGGCAAGCAAACAGGCAGCGTTTTGAAGTCAGCTCAGCGCCCTCCAGAGGGGCTGGGGGTTGAGGGTGGGGTCTGGAGCGGAGCTTGAGGCCCAGACATCACAACCTTGGTCTTTATTGGGAAGTCTCGAAAGAGACGGGGTGGTTTTAAGACAGCAGTTTCAGGAAGTTGAGCCCTGTTCTTCGCGGTGTTATTTATCGCTTTACTCCCATTGGGTTACTGCTGAAAGCCTTCCAGCCACGGGCTTTCAGTGACAAATGTCACAAATACAGTAAAAGATGAGCATGCCGGGCCAGCCGAGGGGCCTCCTCTGCCCGTCACACACTGTGCACCTTGTGGAATTTACAAATAAGTTATTTTTCTTAGCTTTTCTTTCCCACTCAAATCAAGGGCAGGGGGAGAAAGTGGTCACCGGAGTGACCTTTGGGCCGGTGGCAGATGGTTCCTTCATTTGTTTAGTAAGCTGCCTGGTGGAGAAGACAATGTGAAAAGATGAACTATTTTGGTAAAAGATTTCACTTTCGTTTTTGAGGTATTTTTTTAAAGAGTGTGTTTTACTTCATTGGCTGAAAAGCTTTCCTATTTAAATTGCGTTGTTAGAGTCTTAGGAGGCAAAAGAACAAACCAAACAGAACAGTCGAAGGGAATGTTACTCTTTCTGTGAAAGAAAATCCAGAATCCTCGCCTTGGCTGGACTTGGCGGGCACTGGTGGGCCACGCGCGGGGACAGATGGCTTTGTGGACACGCAGGACTTGGCATCGCCTGTCGCAAATTGCAGATTCACGCCGAACACGGGTGTGTGCGAGCATCACACTGTGGAGATACTGAAAGCAATTCAAGTAGCCCTGTCGGGCCGGGGATTCAGCCCGGTGGTTCCGCCGCCTGCCTCACAAGCGCAAGGACCCGAGTGGGATCCCGGTACCAAAAATAAAATAAAGTAGCCCTGTTTACCCAGCACCTCTGGGCTCAGCTGTTCTTGTGCACAGGTGGAAGGCACCGGCTCTGCTCCGGCAGTGAACTCTCAGGCCTGCGGGCCGCACGCTTCCTCCCTAGCCCCGGCAGGCGGCGCTGTTGTGCAGCAGCGGGGCAAATCTGTGGGGTGATTTACCCTCCTTCGGGCCTCTGTGGTCCTCTCTTTCCATCCTGATCACCCCACATTGCACCGCAACGCCTCCCGGCCAGCATCACACCCAAAGGTCTCCACCAAGCTCACCGTGAGCTCGGCCGGACTGTGACCGGAAATGGGGTCCGCGTGTGGGCGTCGTGTCCCCCACCCCGTTAGGGGAGTTGGCTTACCTGTATCCTCTGCGGTCTGGGGTCCCCCGTGGTCACACGCTAGATTAACTGTATCTGGCCACATGTTTCAAAGTTGCCGGCACAAACCAATCCCCAGAGTCTCCAGATGCTCCTCCACACGAAGAAAAAAAGAAACCGGAAATGGAGCCAAAGGCTTACACCTCCAAGGAGAATTCCCTTTGAATTTGAGATTCAGATCACCACTTTAAATATATTTATTAACACCGTTTCATGTGTATTTGTACATGCTGGTGCCAGGTGAGAATCCCATGCTGCTTCACTGGCTTGTGCTGGATACGAAGCTAGAGAATACTGTAATAGATGAGATGGATGAAAAAGACTTCCCTGAAAATCTAGCCTGTGAATTTTAATTTTTGGTAAGTTTTTGAGTTGTTTTTCTGGTGGGTTATTGAGCATATTATTTTACTGACTCAAAAATAATCCTGGGGACCGGGGATTAAGCTCTGGTTTCGCCGCCTGCCGCACAAGCGCAAGGACCCGCGTTCGATCCCAGGTAACAACAACAAAAACAAAATCCTGGGAGTGGGTGCAGTGGCACACACCTGTCATCCCAGCACGGGGTTGCTGAAGCAGTAGGATCACCAGCCTGGGCCACAGAGCCCTGGGCCAGCCTGGAGTACACAGCCTGTCTCACAACAAAATCCTGAAGATTATGAACCGTTTGCTCTTTGGAACAAACATCTCTGATGTTCTAGGCTCAGATGGGTGAAATGCTGACCTCTTTGGCTGGGGAGGGACGGGACCCTCGCTGGCCTGGCCGGTGATGTAGGAGTGGGCATGCAGTACAGTGCCGATCACAGTGCCCCTCGGGGCCCGGCCCCAGTCCGTGCTTCCCTCTTGGGCTTCCCTCGCCTGCCCCATCTGCTGCCCTTGCCTTGGGGCTCCCGGCTTCTCCGTGGAATCCCAGGTTCATTCTTCACTTCCAACGACTCCATCAAAACTCCCGCCTCAATCACTTAATTTCCCGTTTAGAAAAAAAGTTCAGCTCCCTGACAACCGTCGCTTACTTTTCAGTAACCAAGAATCACTGTACTTTTAAACTGGTGTCTTGTTTCCCAAGCCTGGGCGAGCTAAGGGCTGCGAGGGCAGTAAGAGTGAGACAGCGTGTGCTTCCGATGTGGGGTCCGGGCGGGATCCGCTCGGTGCACGGCCGTGGGAGAGCATTCTCTGCACACTGGGACCGTCGCGGCTCCTGCCGATGTGGTGCTTCGCCCGCGCTGGCCTTAGCGTCTGGAACACACGGCCCCACCTTAGGCCCCAGACGCTGAGCCCAGGCCGGAGGCTCCTCTGGGCTCCGTGGGATCCCCGCTGGGTCCCCTAAGGAGCAGAGCCAGCCTCATCTTGCTGTCTTCCAGGTGCATTCTGACCCGGCTCTTGTATCTGGAATAAAAACTAGTAGCTGGGTGTGCTAGTGCACACGTCTGTCATCCTAGGCAGGAGGATTGCAAGTCTGAAGCCAGACTGGGCAACTTACGGACTTAGCAAAATAAAAGGGCTGAAGATGTATCTCAGTGCAAAGACCCTGGTTTGATCCTCTATACTGCCAAGAAATTTTTTTTTAAAGTAGGCCATTGGCGCCCAGATAGTCCCAGTCCCCCCGCCCCCCTTTTGAGATAGGGTCTTGCCATGTAGCCCGGGCTGGCCTTGAACTCCCCGCGATCTTCCTGCCTCAGCCTCCCGAGTGTTAGGCTCACAGGTGTAGCCTTCTTCACCCCCCCCCATTAGTGGGTGCTCGGCTCTGCTGCGTACGGGGGCCTCTGGTGTCAAACGCTGCCCGCAGCTTGCAGGCCGAGGAACCCCGGCGGCGCGGCGGCCCCTGCAGGAAGGCCCGGAACAGGGGGACTGCTCTGGGGAGGCCCAGGAGACCTGGGACCGCCGAGGGCCGGCAGGAGCCGCAGTGCGCGCCGGTAGCCACCTGGGGGCGCCATCCGCTCGCTTTGGCCGCACGGGACTCACGGCCGGCCGGGGGTGGGGTGGGGTGCGGGGCGTTGCTGAGCGGCGGCTGGTGCCGGAGAGACCGCCAACCCCGCAGCCTGAGCTCTGAAATCCATTTCGGTTTGAGGTTCTCCCAGTGCGGCCTCAACCCTGGGAGCGCCTTAGAAATACAAAAATGTTCTTTTCTTTATTTTTTTTGGTACCGGAGATCGAACTCAGGACCTTGCGCTTGCGAGGCAGGGGCGGTGCCACTGAGCTAAATCCCTGGCCCCTGTTCTTTTCTTTTTTGAGACAGGGTCTGGCTGTGTAAATTCACTATGTAGCCCAGGCTGGTCTTGGACTCATGGCGATCCTCCCGCCTCAGCCTCCTGAGTGCTGGGATGAAGTTCAAATTCTTGGGCTTTTAGGTTGGACTAGCTGAATTAAACTGTGGGCAAGTGGGTCTGCAATCTTTTTTTTTTTTTTCATTACTGGGGATTGAACTGAGGGCCTTCCTACTGAACTATACATCCAGCCCTTTTTATTTTTATTTTGAGCCAGGTTCTAGCTAAGTCAGTAAGTTGCCCAGGCTGGGCTCGAACTTGCCATCCTCCTGGCTCAGGCTCCCAGAGTTGTGGGCTGACAGGTGTGCTCCACCCTGCCCTGGGTCCTGATTTTTTAAAAAATAAAACCTTCCTTCGGGAGACCCTGAAGAGTGCTCCTTCGAGAAGCATGCTTTGGATGGGTCCGCTTTCTCCCGATTGCTGTGTTCAGGCACTGACTGCTCAGCGCCAGGGAGGCCCCTGAAAAATCCTCCTGGCTCGGCCGCTCACCGAGAGAGGCCTTGGCACCCAGGCCAGGTGCTGGCTGGAGTCACACAAGGTGTGGTCGTGGCTGTGATACACAGCACCGGGTTTCGGCGCGGCCGGGGACTCGCCCTGAGGGGTGGGAGCGGGCAGGCGGGGAGGTGGGGTGCTCAGGAGGGAGCGGGCTGTGTCCGGATTCCGGAGGCTCCACCGCCCGGGCGTGCTCGGCCGGGATCTTTTCAGTGAGGCAGGAAGTGCACTGAGCCTGCGTGGCTCTGAATGGGGTTGCTCGCGGTGACCTCTTCCGGTGACTCACCACCTTTTGTGCGGGCGCCGTGGCTTCGAGTTTCACTTTGGAAAGTAACCACCGCCCCCGCCGCTCTCTCTGGGGTTGGAAGCCGAAGGAGCCCATTCATTTTGCAACAAAGAGATGTAAATGGAGGCGCTGCCGGGCCTGTCCCTGCCCTGTTTGTAAAAACATCCTTTTCCGAGAGCCAGCCGGTCGAGAAGGGGCCGCTTCTGTTTGCGAGCAGCACATTCATTTGGGAACTTCGTGTTTTTTCCTTCCAGGGTGGCTCGCTAATGCTGCCTTTGTTCTTTTTCTTTTTGATCCGCATTTTGGGGCCCCCTAAAGACGGTGCTTGTGGGCCGAGGGACGCTGTCTCTAGTTTATGAAAAGAGATTCGGTGCTGAAAGGTGGGGACTTATTTTCAGGCACAGGATGAAGACATGAGAGAATTTCGTGCACACAAGAAATGTTTTCATCAGTTGATGGAAGCCGAATAGATGGATTTCTTAGGATAAGCCGGTTAAGTGGACAAAATAATACGGCATTTTTTTCAAATTTAAACAGTCGTCATCTGTGGAACACCTTTAATGGAAATCTTTTCAAGTATGTATAAGCACAAAGCAGTGGCTTTTGTCCAATTATAAAACCGAAATGCATTAAAAATTAAGTGCAGATAAGACCACAGCGCTAATAGAGTTCCAAATAACGTTAACGCCATGTAGTGGGAAATGCGGATGTAGTGAAGCTGCAGAAATGATGCTGGATTTGAGTTTCTTTTCTTTTTGGTATTGGGGATCGAACTCGGATCCTTGCGCTTGTGAGGCAGGCAGCGGAACCACTGAGCTAAATCCCCGGCCCTGCATTTGGGCTTTTAATGGATGAAATTCTGTTTTGTGTTTCATTTGTTGACTCAGTTCTTTCAGCTTTTGAGTATAATGGACCATCGTTTATTGTTATCAGCTGGGGATGGTGGCACCTGCCTGTAACTCAGCATTTGGGTGGCTGAGGCAGGAGGGTCACCATGAGTTAGAAGACAGCCTGGCCTACATTGTGAGTTCAAGGCCGGCGTGGGTGACATAGCAATACTGTCTTAAACAAACAACAAACAGAACAACAACAGCAACAAAAAAGCAAGTTGTTGGAATTATGTAAGGGATTATATCTATAATCCCAGCACTCCAGCAGGCTGAGGCAGGAGGATTGAAAGTTCAAGCCCAGCCTGGGCAACTTTGTAAGACCCTGTCTCAAAATAAAAAGATCGATAAAAGGGCCGGGGATGTAGCTTGGTTTGGTCCCCAGGACTGGGGAAAAATTGTTGTCATTTAACACTGATTTCTACAAGATAGAGTAGGGAAAATTCTCTACGTTCCCTCAAGCAGCCCTCTCAGAGGGTGAAGGTGACAGTTAAGCGGCCAGGGATGGTGTGACCCTGACGTGGGCCGTCCCTGTTTCCTGAGTGCCCAGAGCCAGCCTTCCTCCCTCCTTGAACTTGGGGGTGTCAGGTGTTGCATCCCAGCAACAAGAAAGGGACTCAGACATCTTCCATCCCTGAGGACAGAGACTTCCTCTCTAACTTCTCTGAGAGTCCTGCAGTGGGAGCAAAGTAGCCGGCCCTGCGGTGCCTGAGACGAGCAGTTTCTGTTGCTGGTCTTGCTCCTGGTCCTGGGGGCAGAGACCACCCCAGACAGAGACATCAGACTCACACGGGAGCAGAGCTGCCGCTGGGGCCTGGGAGCTCACGTGCCCCAGACTCGCCCTGACTCGCACAGCCATGGGGGAGAAACGCAAGGCTCGGAACACGGGGACCTCAGCTGGCGTCTGGGTGGCGCCCGCCCTCCGGCCCTGGGCCCTGGGCTGGGCAGAAAGCCCCAGACCCTGGCATGTGGGGGCAGCAGGGTAGGACAGGAGCCCTGACTTTGGACCCAGGGGCTCCTGGTTTTTGCCCACGGCACTCAGGGACTCATGGGTGTCCGTGTCCCTGCACACTGCAGGCAGCCAGGTGGGGGACCCGGGCTGGGCGTGGTGTCCCACGAGTCTGAGTTTCTCTGTGCTTGTGGAGAAAGGGTGGCCTTTGAGGCTGAGGCCCTTGAGGCTTTGAGGCCTTGTGACGCCTGAGGTGCTATTCGTGTGTTCGTGAAAGAGCAGACTCTGAGCCAGGTTTGATGGTCACTCTGGGAGGCTGAGGCAGGTGCACTGC